CTTAGGAACAGATTTTGTTCAAGGACTCTTGTACATGCATCCATTTGTGCTCTGATCATCCAGAACTTGTTGTGGAAGGAAATCTTGCAGGATTCTCCTAACATCACTTACCCTCAGACTTTCCCCGTGCACAAAGACCTGGGCTACAGGAGCACTTCTGATGTAGACATTTTCTATCTTCTCTGGAGCAATGTATTCACCTTGTGCAAGTTTAAATATATTCTTCTTCCTATCAATGATCTTCAGCGTTCCATTCTAGAAGTAAAAAGTGGAGGTCATTAGTTCCAAGTCACTGTCTTATATAAGAGAATATAAACAGGCTTTGTTTAGTTGTATGAAAGGCACTTTGGAACTAGTCTAGAAACCACATACTGGTCTTTGCTTTCTACAGAGAGAAGGGTTTGTGTAATTTCTCCAGTTAGCTCAGGACATGATTCAACAGCTCCTTTACTCTCCTCTGACAGAAACCAAGACACCTTGTTATATTATTTCTACAGTGAAGAATAGTCTTAACTATGGGCTAGCAGGTGTTATTTGATATTCTGTAACCTAACTGGTCTTTGGAACTTTGACTGGAGTTACCTAGTGAATCTACTGTGTAGAAACTTTTATCCTAGAATTCCATCTTTAGAGAATACTGTGGAGTAACAGGAATTCACATGCAAGAGATGATTTGTGTTAAGCAGCTACTCACTGGCAACCACTTCCCTATGTCTCCAGTGTGGAGCCAGCCATCTTTATCAATTGCTTCTGCTGTCTTCTCAGGGTCTTTAAGATAACCTTTGAACACATTTGGTCCTTTAATGCAGACCTATAGCAAGCAGAGAACACTGTTAGTCACCAAGTCTTATGTTTCAGTATTTCTTGACATGCACAGCAGATGGTACCTACCTCGCCTTCATTGTTAGAAGAGAAGTAGCTCATTTCTTCCACATCATCTAGTTTTATGATATTACAAGCCAGAGGGGCTCCAACATGGCCTAAGAGAAAAAAAAAAAAAAAACAACAAAAAAGGCTGCAATGATAGTAGATCCTCACTGAGTTTGTTCACTACTTTAACATGAACCAGCATTATTTAAAGGAGTATGGCATCATATGTTCAAGCAAGTTGTTGCAATGCCATTTTCAGACAGTTAATGTAGGACAAATAGCAGCTAAGTCTTGATGCTTAGAGCACTATTGGTGTCATCTACCACACCAGCCATGAAGCACTGAACCACTTGTGCCTCCTCAGGACCCCCTCTCATAGATCCTGGTATTCATTTGCATTTTCATCCTCATTATGCTCTGCAATTACTGTGTTCACAAAGATGCTGACTTGAGTCTAAATTTAGAATATCCAGTATTGCTAAAATAAAAGCTAAATCTCCAGGTCCTTCAGGAAAACAGTCAAGTATCATGTCTAATATTTTTGAGTAAAACATATCATTTAAGAGACCAAGCTAGTTTCTTAAGGCCATTTGGGACGTCTCTATCCAGTTTGCTCAGCTCTCTCTATTCCTTTCCTATATTCTGGGACAAAGTCTAAACTGACCTATGACACTTTAAACCAGGGTTCCTTATCTGGTTGAGTCAAGAATTTTAGTACCTATTAAACAGACAGGTGACTGCTGCTACTGAGAATCACTTTGAGTACCCATGATTTAATTTTCATTAAACTAAAAGCATTACAGCACCTAGGCTTGAGTGCCCCTTTATGTGGACAGCTCTGGGAGACTTCACAAGTCTCAGCTCCCATACCTGTTGTCCAGTCTCCAGGCATTGAGAAAGTGGATCCAGCTGAGCATTCAGTCTGGCCATAACCTTCAAAGATCTGTGTGAGAAAGGATGAGTATTCCTTGAACATCAAGTCCTTGGTGGGAAAGGCCTCCGTTTTGACAGTTTTGACAAGTTTTCTTAGGAAGGAAGCCAAAACAACCTTTGCTTTTAAGATATCTTGATCTTATTGGTGTGACCAGATGTTAAAGTTCACTTATTCAAACTTTGCTTTGGTCACCTCATTTTCTGTTCTCAAATGTGCTATGTTGGGAGCTCTTTGACTGTCAGAATAAGCTACAAAACTCAGAGGCAGCTGCCTGACTATGAGTGCTGCATGTTCCTATTTCTGCTGCTCTATTCTTCTCAAAGCCTACAGCTTAGTTTTTTGGTAGTGTAGTTTAAAGTGGGCCCTGCAGAATTTTTTTTCCTGTTACAGTTAACTCAGATGAAGCAGTCTGTAAATGCCTGAGACTTGACAGCATTGAGCTGGACCCCAGCTATATCACTGGTCACTCATTTGTGCATAGTCAAACAAGGCTTACTTTTAAAGAAAACTCAGCTTACCTGACAGCCTAATGCTGCTCTAAGAAATGTCAGGACAGAGGGAGATATAGGGGCTGCACCTGTCACCATGATACGCACTCTTCCACCCATGCTTTCCTACAAGTGAAAAAGAAGTCATCAGCTCCTCCAATGTTACCTTGCTTAGCTCCCTTACACTTGGAATAACTTACCTGAATTTTTTTGAAGACAACCTTGTCCCAAATGCTGTCATTTCGAATGATGCCCTGTTTTATTTCAGCTGTCTTCATAAACACAGCAAAATTTAACAGGAATTTCTTTACTGGGGTGTTTGCACCACTCTGGATCTGCAAGGAAAAAGAGTAGTGACTCTTGGGTTTAACTCACATCTGTACATCTCAGTCTTGCCTTGGTAAGAGGCACCAAATCTTACTTCCGTGTTCTAGGGCCTGTCTTCACTGCAGTATCTAGGAGGTGACCCAAAAGGCAATATTAATTCATGTTAATCCTGAAACACTACAGCCACGGCTTTGGGGAACTGGGATCCTGTTAGCTGTGCACTTGATTCATTTGCATTGCAAAAGTAAACAAAGTTTTTATCTCTTAACAGCAACAAACGTAGCCCAGTCATGACTGGATATGCTTTTCTTATACTCCCAGAATGCTTTCCATCTCCTCAGAAAGGACTCTAAAAAATTCCTCTTGCTAAGAGGTAATTAACTAGTGATGATGTTATGACATATTAATTACTATTTTGTATTTGTATGCTTGTTTGGATATATGAACACAAAGAATACAGCTAAAATTGCTCACATACCTTGTCATAGACTCTGTTGAGCAGTCTTGGTACAACTGGAAATAGCGTTGGCTTCAAGGTTTTCATGTCATCTGTAAGCAGCCTGATATCTCCTTGGAAGAAGCCTACTTTTGCTCCACAGCTGTATACCACAGTCTAAAAATTGACCAGACTAACTTTAGTCAAGCAGAATTCCTACCTTCACTAGCCATAATTGTTAGTCTATGAAAAGCAGCATGATTTCCAGTAACCAGTTATTACAAAATAAGCAAAGTTATTGTGTGAATAGGTTTTGAGGACATACACATTGCTAATGTCTTTTACTGTAATTTGGTTTATAAAAGCTCAGATACATATATCTGTACATACCTGCACAACTCTCTCAAACATGTGAGCCAGAGGAAGATAGGAAATGACAACATCTGAACTTGTACACTCAATTGTGTTCTAGAGGGAAAGGAAGTAGATGTACATTAGCATTTTCTATGCCTGCCTGAGTTACTTTTAAGTAGAAAGTAAATAAAATTGAGATCAGTTTGAGTACTTTTAGACAGACACTTCCAATGACTGCAACTCAGGCTCATCCATCACCTCTTCAAGATTTGCAGCTGTCACTCAGCCACACTAATCAAAATTAGTTTAATGTTTTGGCAAGTCTTGAAGTAGATAGTTCAGTACTCTTGGTATTTGGGACTGACTCTTTCTAGAGTAACTTCTATGTACAAGTTCTTGTTCAATTCAAACCAAGTTTCTTGCAATAGTATTGTCTCATTGAAAAAGGGGCACTTAGGAAAGCATCAGTTTCTGGGAGTGAATGAATGGTTTACAGAAAATGCCCACATTAAAGCTGGTTTCAGGACTGAGGGACATATCCTGGAGAGTAGCTCACCTCTGTGCATCTAAGGAAGGCAGCAGCATTTGAAACAACATTCTGATGTGTCAGCATGGCTCCTTTAGGGTTACCTTTGGAGAGATCAAGCAAGGTGAGCTGTGGCTCTGACTGCTTCTGCTGGCAGTTCCCATGTCTTGTTTGGCTCAGTTTGAACTATCTCAGTACTAGGCTCAGTCCCAGCAATTATTCTCATGAGAGATTACAAATATGCCTCATCTTGAGTGCTTTCAGCTATGGCTGTTACATAAAGGAGATGGATACTGAAACAGCAGAGCAATTGGGAGTAGCATAGAGAATGCTGAAACAAGATTTTTGCTTTAGCCCCTGTGGACCAAAATACACAGCTGAACAAGCAATCTCTTGAACATTAAGGCTGCATTTTTCATAGGGTAAGCCAACATGAATTTGGCTTTTCTTGCCCCAGTTTTAAGAAGCTTTATCATAGTGCACTTCACTTGTAATGATAGTATCCCAAGTAAAACTGCAAGAGCAGTTTGACATTGCTCTAATTTACTGGTTTACTTCCATGTTCATAGGATTTCTTTACTTTTGTGCAGGGAAGCTGCATGGGGAGTCTCTTTCAGTGGGGAACCATCACTATAAATTCTTACCTGTGGTTCCACTTGTAAAACACACAACAGAAAGATCTTCAGGCTTAGGAGGCTAGAGAGAAAAAGCCACATAAAGTCAGCATGAGGATTATGATGGTTATCTGTAACTACATACAATTCCTAACTGTGACAAATCAGGATTTATGGTTCACAAATAAAATCTGGCAGCCTCCTCTACTAGCAGCATAGCAAGAGGTCTTTCCAGAGACAAGTTTTACAAGTCTATAGGTGATAGTATCATAGAGATACTTACAACTGGATCTCTCATGTTGTTTCTTCCCAGCTCCTGTGTTAGAGAAAAAACACAGCTTAAGAGATGTGCACAATAGGTGAAGAGGTAATTGCATTTCAAATGCAACACCTGTTTTACTACTTTGCCTCTTGATACTCTGTCTCATTCAAACAGAAACCTCTTCCTGAATCGAATACACTTAACTCTGAAAAACTGTCTGCTGCAAGTGTGGAGAGGACACATGTGAATGTGTGGAAAGTGATCAGAACTACTTTAGGAATTTGGAAGTCCTGAGTGGAGAGGTTTCCTTTTATTTGAGGTAGGCCACATCTCTAGATGTATGCAAGCTTATGCCTAGTATTGGGTTGTCTAAGAAGCCAGTAATTTGCACTTAAAGTTCCAATTAGATTCAACTGCCAGCTTAGAAGCCAAATAAATCCTGTTACAACAGGATCACAAATTAAGCTAAGCAAGTCTTGGCTGTTCACAGCACATGGGCACAACTTTAGTCAACTGTTTCAACTCTGCAACTCTGTTTAGCTAAAGATATCAAGTTTCAAAATGACTGCTCATTAAGATGTCAGGTACAGGCATGACAATTGGGTAATGCTTACATTAAAGTGTCATTGCTGCCACAGAAGATCAGGATGTTTAAGCTGGCAAAGTATTACAGAAGCCTTTATCCACCTACCTCAACCTCCTGCAGTGACAGAATTTCAACTCCCACTTTAGCTCCTCTGTCCTTGAGCTCTTTATCAAAGAGATCCATGAGAACAATAATCTTCAGACATGGGGTCTTTTTGTCCTCACAGTTCTTAAGCAAGACCTCTGCCTTTGCAGGCGTGTCACAGATCACCACGCTTATGTCAGCTACAGAAAAGAAATCATCAGAAGTCTGTTTAGAAGACATGAGGCCAGTGACAGCTCAGCAGCACATGATTTTAGAGCATAACATTGTTTTGGTGCCATTTGCATTTGTTCATATGGATTCAGTGGCTGGCTTACAGTGCTGAGAAAGTTCCTCCTACCATATTCAACTGATTAGGCAAACCTGATGTTCTGGCACTATAAAATGAGGGAAATGCTGAAAAGCTGAAAAGAAATTTCATTGCTCATATTCAAGATGGGCATTGAAACTTTTGGTATTGCCATGATATTGTTTAGGTTTAGCCATCTTCCTTAAATCAAAAGAAATTAAGGCCCAATTGAAAGAGGTAGCTAAAAATAGTGAGTTAATACTTCAGCTTCCCTGTAGATGCAGTTACAAAAGCCTTTTCCTTTAAGTCAGCAGAGGAACTGGAGTTGCCTGAGCCTGCCAGTTCCCAGTTAGATTGGTAAATTACAGCTGTGTAATCAATCCCAAAACAACACCTGTTTCCAAGATTCATCACCATAATTCTTGAAGGGGTTTTGCTTGGCAAATCCTATTTTTGGGATGGATACCAGATCACTGTAACAACAGCGGATATTTATTCCCCCCATATCTCTCCTAAGACAGGGGGAAGAAAGTCTGAAGATTTATTTAACTTCCTTGCCAGTTTATTCCATGTTGGCCTGCTAGATGTTGTTTCTGTAGAACGTGAAATAACCAGAGAGATTAAACAGATTTAGGCAAATCTTTACCCTTCCCTCCTCCACTCTTTTCATACTACAGACATATACAGACAGACATATAAATCTAGTCTTAATTTACATGCAAGTCTGTCTGCATTGTCTGATTGTTTGGCAGTGTGGGAGTTCAAGATTGCAAAATCTCAAATAGCAAATAGTTGAGCACTGATTGCAGAATGATCCACAGGATCTGGCAGATCCTTCAGTGGTCTTGCAATCAAGACACTAGCAGACATAGAAAGCCCTCTGGATTCTTGTGGGCATTGAATCATGTGCTCTGCAAAGCAGCTTCACTAAGTGTCTATAAGAGCAGTAAGGTTAAAACTACTCTGATTTTTGCAAATTCCCTTGAACTTAGCCCTCCCAAAAAAAAGTTTCTTAGAAAAATCCTTATGAAAGAGTGGAAGTCAATATTTACCTTTGTTAACAATATATACAATGGCCTCTGGTCCCAGAGTGTCATAGAGTGGAACAGCAACCATTGAGTAGGTGTAGCAGGCATATTCTGAAATGATCCACTGAAAAGAGAAAACAACACAACTTAGGAAAACTAGGAGCCCTCAAGACAGGATTGCCTGCAGACTTCATACAGCTTGACAAGCCCATGTACTTGGCAGTGGGGGTTGTGGAAGGAGCACATCCATGAGAGTAAGAGTTGTGAGAGTCGTTGTATTACATGCTTGGAATGGTATGTGCTCAGTCAGTAAAAGGGAATTGGGAAGGAAAAAGTGATTGTTCCTGATGTGGCCTGAAGCTGTTTAAATACAGTCTCCTCTCATCCCAAGGTGTCAGAACAGTTAGGAAAGAATACACAATTTGTTGCTTACCTCTGGCCTATTCTGAGCAAAAATGCCAATATACTGGCTTGATGATGGTTGGCATCCTTTTTGCAGAAGTCCTGATCCCAGGTATTTAGTTCTGTCTGAAACCTGCAAGATAGTTATTCCCCCACTTTAGTGTTTCAAGGCAGAATCCCAAATTAACTCATCTGTCATATACAATACTCACCTGTTTATATGTCAGCCACTGATAAGGTTGCTTGGGTTTCCTGTAGCCTAGACAGTCACCATTTCCTAATGAAAGAGTTCAGAAAAGCAGTTTCAAAGCTCAATACTGTAGTTGCATAACACCAAAGTGCATAACACTAAACACTTGAAGTGGGAAATGTTTTCTGTCAGGCATTCAGGCAACTGCATGGAGAGCAGGTCAGTGTCCATAGTTAAGCACTTTGCCCAAACCAAGGTTGTAAGACTTTAACTTTGTCCTTACAAGCAATACTTCTAAGATCTGGTGATATTTGTTGGATTGCACAACCCATGTGAGGTTGAAACACCTTGCAAACCATCACACATTTCCATGCATAGGACTTGTGAAATGACATGCACAAATTCATATCTGTTGCAAACAGGCAGTAATTTCACAGGAAAACTCACATCATAAGACAAAGGAGAGGTGTTTCCCCCCCAGTTCCTCTGATGCTCTGTATCTGCTGACTCTTGACTGAACTTTACCATCTTCAGCTTTCCAGGATTTGTTCCTGCCCAGTCTCCCAAATAAGACTAGTACTAAATTGGGACAGGGAGAAATATGGTCACTTGTCTCTCCACCCCACAGAAGGTTACAAGAGCTGTTGCTAGCCTGCATTATTACCACAGCCAAGACACAAGGAAAAGGATCTTGGAAAAATTTTATTTGTGATAGACAAGTACTAACTACCAGATGCAAAGCTTACCAGAAATACTCACTCCTCTCTGGAAAACTTCATACAGGGTCTTAGCATCTTCAAAGTAATAAGAGAGCAGGTTATTATCTGTCAAGAGTGCAGCTCTTCTGGCTCCTCCCTAGGAACAGAGCATGGTTATGAAACAGAGCAGACCAGATAAAATACCATTTGTTCCTCAGCCATTCTCTCATCAGTCCCATTTAAAGCATTTCAATAGCATTGTATTGTTAGAGAAATCTTTTTCCCTTCCTGATTTTGATCTACTCAGTCACATGCAGAGTGATTTTCTAGATGGCCCACCTAAACATTGAGTTACAGGTTATTGAGAGGCCTTGATTGAGTGCTACCACTTCCCTTATTACATGAAGTCTAGCACCAGTTTCAAAGCTGAAACAGTGCATTGAAAATACAGGAAAGTCAGTGACAGCCAAAGCCATCTGGTAAAAATCCCACCTAACTCTGGTTGGAACAAGCTGCTGTTTCTCATCTTAGCATCTTAAGATTTCCCATCTCCCTACTGTGCTTTTGAGATGTACACCTGGGAGAGAAGGCTGTGCCATAGGACAGGAGAGCTTCCACTGACACCCAGAGTCAGAATGGATCAGTATTCAGATGAAGCTCCTAAACAGACCATGCCCACAAGCAGAGAAAGCATTACCTCAATTCCTATCGACTGCTTGTTCAAGTCAACAGGAGGTAAAAGGGGTTTTGGCCTGCTTATCACCCACAGGAAGATGACAGCTCCAAATGCAATGAGACTGATCAATGCTGGTGTTGGGAGCGGTGAGAACAACACTTGAAGTATCCAGATCATTGTACTGGATCAGTGGAGCCAGAGCTGAACCTGAAACAAATAGGAGGTTTAGTAGACTTGAGTTAGAAGCTTTAATTACCTATGAGCTATGGTTACTTAAGTAGCTTGTTAAACAATACTGCAAATCATTTCAGCAGTTTGCCCCTGGAGAGCCCTGGTACAATAGTGAAGCACACTTATGCAATGTTTTAAGCCTCTTAAGAGATCTTAAGTCACCTGTCCCCATAAATCTTAATCTATGCAGCATCCACCTCCACAGAAAGCTGAAGCCTGATGAAGTCAGACAAGGGACAGATTCTTTCCATCCTTAAGTAAAAAAATATGCCTGAAGAAAACCAGTATATAATTTCCCAAATCTGTCTTCCCAAGTATAACTAAGAAATGCCTATGGTTCAGTGTCATGAATTGTGGAAGTAAGAAAATTTCTCAATATTGTTAGTGTTCAATAGGAAATGGTTTTGCTGAAATAGGAAGGGTATTGATAAATTTCATGTTTCATACACCTACATATATGTCTGCAAGACAAACAGTATATTCACTCTCAGCTGGTTTTACAGGTCATGCCAGACAAATATTGCAGAGAGTGACAGTGTGGTCAGCCAAAAAAAACCAGCACAAATCAAAACTGTGAAAGTTGCTTTTCGCTAGGAAGTGGTGACCTGGATGTCAATGTGTGCAATGGAAGTCTAACTGGGAAATACAGAAACAATTCTGCTGCTTGCATTCCCCATGGTATCTTCCATCAAGGACAGGGAAGCAAAATCTGAGAATGCAGATGCTTTTTATAAGACACAGAGACCTGAGCTTTCTTCTTTAGAAACAAGCAATTTTATCTCCAAAATGTTCTGACATGTTTTAAGATTGAATTGCCAAGACTGCTTTCTATCTGAATCAGCTCAGATCTCAGCAACTTGTATTTGCTAATGTCTAAATATCAATTCCAATGAAGTTGAAGGTATTTTACAAACCAATAGTAAGTTCAGACAGGACCTGAAGTCAGAATTTGGGTGTCTGAGCCCAGAGTGATCATTTAGATTACCCGTTTTACAGTTTTGTAGTTTCCAGTGGCAGGGTTAATCAGCAATCCTGGTGTGTTCTCTGGTAAAAAAGGCATGCTTTGCCTGCCCTGCATCTGGATAAGAAAGGGTACCTCAGAGGTTTTCCAGCTAGT